CTTCTATTGTGAAAAGCCTGGGGGGAAGTAGCTTTGTAGTGTAGCGGAGTTGACTGATCTGTAAGGTGAGTCATCCTTTTAAGTTTTATTAACACGCAACGATAGACCAGGTAATGATTTTTTCTCAACCCTTCACGATCGGACCTAAATGCATGATTACTGTCTACAACCAAAGAAGAAATGACGTACAAGAGGAGGGAAACAGTGATACAGAGGTACAGTAAAAGAAAAAAAGTCAATAAGTAAAGTTTGTACATTTTATTATCAACTGAGCTGTGAGGAAAAAAAATACCATCAAATACCGTGAAACCAGTGTAATTATTGAAAATGCCTTGATATAAAATTTGGGTCATACCGCCGAGCTCTATGGTATTGTTGTCTGTATCCTGAGTTACTGATATAAGAACTGTATTTTTTAAATACGTTTTCTGCTCAGTCTTTATAGACACCTTGAGCATCACCACACAAGAAAAAAAATGGAGGTTTTTAGTTGAAGCTGGTYGGGAAAAGCGCCAAGCTAAGCAGTTGCTGTGCTGGGACTTACAGGCTCTTTTTCTCAGGAAGAAGCCACAGTTAGATCTTGGATCAACATGTCTTTTTTTTGCCACAAGTGGACAAACATCTGATACATGTCTCTACCAGCATGTTTTCATTCAGGTTCCCCWGTGTCTCACATGGCTGTGCACTTAAAACATCCTGTGTGTTTGAGTTTAAACACAGGTCATCTGGGTGCGTGATGTTTGCTGCATGCATGTGGTGAACTGTCCTCCTTTACCCATCACAGTTCCTTCTTAAAGCAGCAGGGATCGTGTCAGTGGTTTAGAAATTTCTTGTTTTTTTTTGTTATCGTTGAGAGTGGGAAATAAGATTTGAAGCTTGATAAATGCCACAGATTCACCTGCATTTTGTTAAAACATTTGTATGTTGGTAGCTATTAGGGGTGGGCATATCGATACTCATCGATACTATTTATACCAAGACAAGTATRTTATCAGATCGAAACTATTGTGATGAGATTGATTCTATTGTTTACACTTTATTTGCACTACTGACTTTATTTTTCACAAATGAACTGAAAAATAAAGCCAGTAGGGCATCCATCCATCCATTTTCTTCRGCTTATCCGAGATTAAGTTMSAGYGGCAGCAGCCTAAGCYGAGACCCAGACTTCCCTCTCCRTTGGGCCAGCTCCTCTAGGGGAATCCCAAGGRGTTCCCAGGCCAGGCAAGAWACATAGTCCCTCCAGTGTGTCCTGGGTCTTCCTCTGGGCCTCCTCCCYGTGGGSCATGCCCGGAARACCTCACCAGMGAGGWGTCCAGYAGGCATCCTWACCAGATGCRTGAGCCACCTCAACTGGCTCCTCTCGACGTGGAGGAGCAGCGGCRCTACTCTGAGTCCCTCCTGGATGACRGGGCTGAGGGTAGGAACGTAGACCTACCGGTAAARTYCTTCACCACGACAGACCGGTACAGCGCCCGCATCACTGCAGARGCAGCACCAATCCACCTATCAATCTCCTGCTCCATTCGTCCCTCATTCGTGAACAAGACAAGCCAGTAYGGCAGAGTCTACAAATTATTTAGTTTGTCTGTATTCTTCTACATCGTGCGCACACACTGGAAGTTTTTTTTTTTCATTGACATTGTTAGATTTATATTTTTGTGACATTGTTGCTTCTTTTTTGTTATTTTGCACTAGTTAGTGACTTTTTTCCTTAAACAAATGTGTAGTAGAACATAACGGGAATTATTTTAATATTTTTATACTATTAAAATGTTTTGTTGTTAGTTAATACTAAACATGTATTTGCATAAAATCTTTGTTCTGTGTTTTTATCATAATCAACTAAAGGCAAAATCCCAACATTATTCTATGAACATGACAAATATTGGCATCTGAATCTGTGATACTAGCCCTGTTTTTACTTTGTATCAGATCAAAACTAAAGTTTTTATTATCGACAATTCCCTAGTAGCTACTCTTGACCCAAACCAATAAACCAATAACCACATTAATATATAGGTCTAAAATCTATTGTCTGGTGGATTCCAATCTATGGTACTAGATATATATTCCTCCCATCATCCAACCCTAAAAAACAGCTGGCTTTCAAWCTCTRCCATCAAAAATAAGCAGAATACTTCAGTATTTGTTTGGAGAGTCTGGCCTGTAGTTAGTTCTGGCTGCACATTTTTTATGTGACAGCAATAAACATTTATCAACAATGAATATAGTTCTGTTTCTGATWCATCTGAAATGTAGTTATTAAGTTATAAAACAGTCTGGAGTTGTTAATTTTCATTATTGTGACATTATTTAATAACTGAAGTAGCTCAGAGCTTCAGAAGTGAAGCAGAAAGCACATCACCATGAAGCTACCTGTCTGTAAACAAACGATTTACTGACACGGTACATCCAAGGCATGCCCAGGGCGCACCGACAAAGACCTCACTGGTGACAAGGTGGATGTTCTTGATCTAAAATAGTATTTTTAGATCAAAAGAACCATTATATATTTAATAAAGTTGTGATCATGAGTGTTCCCTTTTCCTGGAGATGACATTAAAGTTGAACTGTAAACCCTGTTGATGTGTTTAAAGAAGTGTCGAAACTTGAAGATTAATATCAGTCTCATGTCAGTGTGTAGAACTTCTAATCATGCCAGGAGATGAATAACTTTAGGCTGACAGTGAAAGCAAACAGATGTCCTCATTCTGTCACAAAAAAAAAAAAAAAAAAAAAAAAAAAAAAAAGAGTTAGGGACAGAAAACGCTAAATTAAAGTTTTTCTTTTAGCTACTGCGATATATGGAGTTTGCAAAAGAAGCCTGTTCCCACTGCAGGTCCTAATGGTCAGTTTTGATTTTTGCTTAGCTTCAATTTTATTTATTTTTTGTTAAGACATGACGTCTATGGTTGCAACGATTGCAATTTTCTGGCCAAACACCAATTTTTAAAAAAGCCTGAACTGTCGATTTTAGTCTGAAGAATCTAAAAACTTGTTAAGGGGCTGGGGAAACCCTTGAAAACCAGCAATGAGGACCACTGGTCTACACTCTGGATACGTTTCCTGTTTACAAAGCTAGTGTCCCACTGTTGGACTTCAGCTGGCAGCTCAGAATTGTGAGATAATAGACACATATGTTGATGCGGTTTCACAGAACTTTTAAYTGTTTGTGACCAAGCAACCAGTGAGTCAGGCAGATATGTTTTGAMGGGCCAATATCTTTTAAATAATGGCCTAATTTTGTGTGTGAATAAATATTCCAGGCCATCTTGGCAGCTATCCCCAGATTTTTTTTTTACTTTATCAATTTTCACAGCATATTCTTTACAGCATTTAAGTTTTATACAGCGCTGTCCACTTTAACATAAAACCCTGACATGAAGCATACAAAAAAATCATACACAAAATAAAAGCTTAAATATACACGCACACAAAAAAAAACCAAATGAAAATGCAAAAATCTGTTCACTTAACAGCTAACTAAAAGTAGCAGTAGTTTAGTTACGATGGGGTACTCATCTTGAATGTTTCCATGTTTTGTAAAAATGGTTGCCATGCCTTGACAAATTTAGCAGTTGAACCTGCCAAAGTACATCTCATCTTTTCTAAATGCAAAAACCTCATGAGCTCTGCAAGCCACTGTTCATGTGTAGGAGGGGCCTCCTGTTTCTACCTCAGAAGTACCAAACGTCTAGCAATCAACGTAGCTAAAGTATTTGAATTATTTTTGGAAAGTAAAATATTTGGAGGTATGACTCCAAAAATTGCAGTTGGAGCAGAAGAGTCAAATGTAACATTGTATGTATATTTCTGAGAATGTATTGAATATAGATTTCCAATAGGTATGAAGTTTTGAACACGCCCAGAAAGTGTGAATAAGGGAACCGACTTCTGACTTGCATCGGTTACATAAGGGATCAGTCCCTGGATAAAACTTAGCTAGCTTTTTTGTCCCCAGGTTTTTGATTTAATCTACTGAAATACACATTTGAAGTTAAGGTACCTTTTTTTTGTAAATATTTATCAATGGGGTAGTTTTTATATCTGGATATTTGAGGCTGGATGTTTAACATGTCAGGAGAGTTTTAATGCAGGTGTCAACATACAGTTTTAGCCAAACAGAACAATACAAACTAAACTGAGAATGGTTTGAGAAACTCACAACAACCCAAACTTTTTAGAGACAAAATTTGGTTACATTGATTTTATAAAAMGTTCAAAATTCAAGAAACAAGGTTTGAGCCTCTGTAATTATTACAAGAAAATTGAGAATCCCTGTAAAGCTTCTGAAGACTTTTTGGAGACCCTTCTTAATGCATTGGCAAATGAGGGAGARGTTCTCAATTGGCGTGTTTCCATCAGCGTTTTTTAATGCACATTTTGAAGTATCGCATCAGAAAAGGTGAATGGAAATGGCATGATTCGAAAAAACTTCCCCTAATTCACATAAATGTTGATACGCTCGCTTGAGGTGGTTTTTTTTTTTCCAAAAAAGAGTTAATGTGCAAAATTACAGATAGAAACACATTTGTCGAATTAGTTCTGACGTAGCGAACATTTACCTCACATGGTTGATCAGCTGTTCCCGCTGTCTGTCCGAAACCGGTCCCGGTACCGGAGCGACTGCAGCTGGATTCTCCTCCCGCTGTCGGTGTATTCTCAGTTAATCCTGTAACGTGAAGAGAATTGCGTTACTTCCTCTACGTCTCCAGACAGCATCTAAAATCACCAAAACTAGTTGATGACAGAATAATTACAACTTTCCCGACAGTAGCAACAATTTCCTGATAACTTRTCTCCATTTTCCTGAGATGCGACTTTTACTTCCTGTTTACTACACGCATGCGTCTGATGTAACTGATTTGCTTCAAGCCAGTTGATGGAAACACGTCTGATTCGCATTTCTTCGTTTTTTTTTTCTTTTTGCGAAATTTTAAAAATTCGCTCAAAATTCGAATTAAAATTGGATGGAAACACGARTATTCCCACATCTAGTGACAGTTTAGAGGTGTCAGTTAACTGAATATGCATAGTTTTAGTCTGTAGATCCTGAAGACAATCCATTCATACACAGGGAGAASACATAAACRCCACACAGACAGACTACCACAGGACTTTAAGTTAGACAAGCTGACYCGATCAAGTGATGAAATGTATTCTTTCATCATTCCTTTCATTCTCTGTTTGCTTTGTTCTGTTCAGGGGAGCTTTATTTACAGGTCAAAAGTCTATTACAGATTAACAGTAACCTTATTACTGATGTTACTCTAAATCCAGTGAAATCTAAGTCATGTGAGACAAAAGAAAGATGTGTTTATAATGAGCACACATTCTTAAACATCAGTCATCCAAGGATTGACTGTGTATGCATAAACAAGAGGAAATAAATGTAAAGTCTGAACACACAGGAAGTAGAGCGATTTTAAATTAAATCTGTTTTTGCCCCTTCAGTCTGAAACCAAGTTCCCAGTTTGACTCTTACGAAACATGAAACATCGGCCCTAACAAATAAACTAGAACAACAGTTGTCCACTTCAYGTTATGGAGGTGTCCTGATACCAGTTTTTCWCAAAACAAGTTTGAGTACCAGTACTTCAATTTGGGTACTCGCCAGGTCCTAGTACATGCCAAGTTAGAACATAAATGTTACATAATTACTTTAAAAACACATTTCTTTTATTTAGGCCTACAACCTCTCTGATTGTACTGAATCAAATATACAGCACGATMTATACAAGTTCAGGCCTCCCTTGAAAAATACTAGATCTATGATCTCAACGGGACTTGCCTGGTAAAATAATAGTGAATAAATAATACTGTTGCAACATTTTTAAATAAATAACAAAAATATAAGAATTTTTTTCAACTTGTATACATTTCTTAAACATGGAACTGACAAACTTTACTTGAAATGTAGGCTGTTACACATTCAGTGGACCTGGTATCAATACTGGTATTGGTTTCGAGTACCGAGGCATTTTGTGTACTTGTATAAATGCTGATGTCAGTATTGGGACACCACTACTTCTAGTCTATGAAAGCATGTGGTAGTATCTCACTGGGCTGTGACTGTTGAGAACAGTGGTGCCAGATATGATAAATATTGTACTTATTCAATAGTTTTAGTACATATTTGATAAATAATYAAAACAGTTTTTGTGTTTTTTGTGCACAGAGAAAAACAACCTTTGTTTTGATCTGACCAGCCAGACTGTGCACTTGCCAGGCGTGCAACCTGGTACCCAAGTCCACCCCCAACCTGTGCACGTTTGCCACTCACGACACGCACTTATTCTGCACTTCAACAAAGTGCCCCCCCTTCCCCCTTTGAGCAAAGGAGTGAACCCTCACTCAGCACGTATGGCAGTTTAGGCAAAATTAGGATAATTTAAAAGTGACATTACAATTTTTTGTCATTTCCTATCTGGCAACCCTGTTTGGAAGTCATTTTGTGAGACAAAATTGCAAATCACAGTGAACAACACGTTTGTACAAACTTGCACAAATCCAATCATTCCGGCCCAAACTTGCATGGCAGTGTACTGTATATGTATGTTAAAAAGAATGCAGCTCTAATACTCTATAATTACAGAACATAAATCAAGAAGGAATTCATTTTAGCAGTAGAGAATAAGTAAAGTAGACCACAACCTGAACAAAGCATTAAGTGGGATATCCTCTGTGGTTATGTTGGATAACCAGATRCTTCTTAATTCTAGAGATGTAATGTAATTTGTAAAGTCTTGAGGTGTAAAAATAACTGATCAAAAACATAATATGGTTTATAAATAAGATATGTTGTAATTTGTATTCTTGAGTTTTATTTGTACAAATACCTCTATCCAAATATCTAAAAGATATTATTCTTTTATTTCCAATGAGAGGAAGAAAGTATAAAACTTGTTTTAAACACAGTCAGATTTTCAATTACACTAAAAATGAGAACATATATTTCTATGGTGCTAATTATATTAATTATAATCTGTATATGGTTTGTTCTTTGGTTTTTCCATTTCAAAATACTATTTTGTTCAAGGTAAGATCACCAGCTTTCAATGAGACGCATCAACTCCCTCTAAATAAGACAAACATACCCATGGTGAGAAGTGAAAATGTAAAGCGACAGAAGTTCAGGCCATGATTTCCTGTTCTGCCAGAAGGTCCCAAAAAGTGCTCTAATACAAATGTAGCTTGGGTTTGCTTTAAACATTAAAGTAAATACAAAAATGTAGTATTTCTTGTTTTTGTTATTGTCATTTTTCTTATTAAAACTAATAAAACACCAGATTATTATTATTTTTTTAAAGCAAATAAAGAAAAACATGGATTATAGGTC